ACGGCCACAGCCGTCGGCGAGGCAGTTCTAAGCGAAGTCGTTTTCTCCGTGAAGGCGCGGTGAAAATGTCTTCCTCCTCCTCGCCAGGAGGAACAAACTTCTTTCTCCCTTCATTGTTGCTCGCTGTCTACTTACATATATATCCGTATCTAAGAGTTAGCAGCGCTTTTCACAGACAGAGAGGGAACTTGGACTTGTCGTTACGCGCGTGAAAGTCCCTATGCGTCTATAACTTGAATTTCGATCGATTCCTTGGCTTCGCGAACGAGGATCAAGGCAGTGGAATTTCTCCAAGCGAGAATTCGTAAGAAAGACCTCGAAGTTTCTTCTCGTCTCGTTCGTGATTGACAACGACGAGTCTGACGACAAGTCAGTCGGTCAGGCAGAGATCGTTGTTTTCGGAGAGATCGAACCGCCGACCGTGACGACTCGTTTCATCTGGTGCCGCCGAGATTCAATACTCTTTACGTCGATCGAAGAAGGGAGAGTCCAGCGAACGTTTCGTCGAATTGTCGCGTGTCTCGTTGTGCTTGATGTCGTTTGTTATTGTTGATGTCGTCGTCGGGCGATTTTAACGCCGCGGAACGAACAGCTATCGAAGGAAAGAGAGGGATGGGAATATCGTAGGAGAGTGGGAAGGAGGAGTTTTAACTGGCGGCTTATTGCCGGCGCGAGAATGCGCCAATGATTCTGACCGCGGAAACGAGCACGTACCAACCGTTTAAACCCGCTCACTCGCGTGCACCGCCGTATGTAAACGAATATACGTATGTGTAAGCGTAATACCTGTGCCGCGACAACGACGGCCAACGTGCACGAGGACTGAGGACAGTCGAACGCGTGGCTTCACGACGGAAGTAAAGCGCTAGTCGGGTTTACGATTGGTTGAGCATTGCGCGACAGATGAATTGTGGCCAATGAATGTCCTTGCTCTCTGGACGAGGCCACGACGACGTAAGCAAGCCGTATTTGAACATTATGAACCGCTTGCGTATCTACGAGACCACGTCGCCTGCTTCAAAGTTGATTCTAGTTGATTTGAGAAGCATCTGCGATCTTGCTCGTACTTTATGATGTTTCGATAGTAGCGGAGAGATATTTTTACGAAAACTATATGTCACATTAGCGTCAGAACAGCTACTACTTGTTACATTTATCGGAATATTCAAACAAATTGTATTTTATTCAATATTTTATCTTGCACGTGTATCGCGGATTTTTATATACTTCTATTAACGAGGTATTTAAAGTTACAAAAATGCACACAACATGCAAAAATACTCAAAGTAAAGTAGCTGTTATTAATACTGAACGGGTGAAACGAAACTGTATTTATCTATCGAGAGAGACAGAGTGAGGTCTTCTATTTCCTTAGTTACGTTAATACAAATCCTCGGTTTACTTATAGATCGTATACGATGTGGATAAAATAACAGATTTCCCATAAAATGATTAGAAAATAAAAGCAGGAAGGAGCATGCAATTTGTACAAAATAAATTTTATCACGCCCATGACTCATCCAATGGACACTGATATTTACGTATCGGTTTTCCCACTTTTCATTACGATCCTTTGCATTTCGTGGTTTCTCTTTCAGACTCTTTTTAGTACCGATGATAAAATGATGTCAAAATTGGTCTGAACTTTCTTTTGATATGATTACTAAACTTTCTCATCTAAGAACAGAATGGCAACTAGACGTTGATGGTACTCGCGGTGGGGATAAGGAAACATCGAGGAACTCGTGGGGCGTTTTACGATCGTCTTCGAAAGCTGCGACTTCTGTGCACTTCCGGCCTCGATTCTAGAAGCACCTTCAGGCGGTTTTCTTTTCGCAGACGGGCAAAGATAATTCAGCAACCGCAGAAAATATCTCGATAGTGTACCATTTGATGCGACGACCTTTCTGCCATTATTTTGTCGAGAATTAGGGATCGTGTTATCGTCGTTTTGCAACGTTAACGTTAATCGTTTAACAGTATACGCCGTAAATTTCTTTCTTTAAGCTGTTACGGATGATATTAGAAAATTAGAAATTATTTTATAAATTTTAGAGCTGTATTTTAAGAACGGACGATCCCATCCATATATGCACCTCTTTTGTAACATCTTTCAGGAGAATGAACTTCTTTAGTGATACAGCGTAGATTCATTTGTACTGTTATACATCACATTAGAAATTATCGTATTGTACATGTAATATTTCAGATCTGCTGCATACTGCGAGAACGAATAATGCAATTTTTATACTTATTCCGTATAATTTGATGCTTTTAATGCAGAATTAAATCAAGCAACGTATTAGGTATGTTCATTTCTTTAGGCAATTATAATTACGATGGTATTGAATTC